ATTATTAACCCTCCATTAAGACTGCAGGGATATTTCCAACTCTGCATATATTCTCTGTCTTCAGAGAAATAGAAATCACCTGGATGAGGGAGGAATACTTCAACGAAAGCCAAATCAGTCCGTGCTTAATCTGAGTGCCACAAAGACCCACCAGGAAGCAGAGCAGCTGTTTTCCCAAAACCCACCCATAAAAATGGGTTGCCCACGATAGCAGTGCCAACCCCAGATTTCTACCACTTAGTTCTAAGGGCTCTTCTCAAACTCCAGCCACTAGTCAACATGGCCGAGCATTATCATCGGGGACTGTAGAGTTTGGGCAGCAATTCAGGAAGGAATTTTCTTTGGCCCATTAGGACATTGCAAGCCCTGAGCCTCCCATCTTTGATAACCATATCAGGTTAGATGTTCAACTAAGTCTGCTGCTCTTCTAAGGGCTTTTGCAACAGCTAACAAACAGGAGTGTTTCAATACAAGGAAGATGCACCGTTGCCTTATGTAAGAACTATTTTGCAATAGTTCACTGAGGCGATATGATGCAATCATTATAACTGCATAAATAGAGAGCCGTGTCTGTCCCAGGAGTAAGGTTTGGTCCAGAACCAGTCTCAGCATGAAGATCCTTTATCTGCTGTTCACATTTCTTTTCCTTGCATTCCTGTCTGAACCAGGTAAGAAACAAAATTACTGATAATTTACAAATGATTGGTAATTCACTCCTTTTTAAACAAATATGATCATCACTGAAAGCAGGATAATCTTCAACATCTTTTTGTTTTACTTTACAGAAATAGCTTTGAACAGTATAGACTATTGACAACATGAGCCTCCAAATATTTGAAAAATATGCCATTGATTTTTCTTTTGATTCACAATTCTTGAAAGAACTTTATAGGGGGTTTTGTTATTGTAGCTTATTTTTGTTGATTTGCTTCACTTTAACATTGGTTTGCCAAATTCTCAGCTCACTCAAGGTCTTCATCCAAAACACACAATGCAACTGGCCACTGTAACTCAGCAAGGATCCATGGCAAAACTGGAGAGAAATATATCACAGCAAGGTCTGTCCTTCATATGAACCAGATGATTTCTTCCCTCCTACATTAATAGATGTGGGCTTACCAGCTAATTCATCTTTGAGTCAGACTTCAAACCTGGGTTAATAGCTGATTTATTTGAGCTGCTGCAGGAGATCTGTGTGGTCAGAGAAAACCTGCTGTAGTCCTAGGAATCCTGCAATTCTTGGAAGGATGTTTCCATTCCCATCTTGGATGAACGGTTACAAAAGCTGATGGAGTTAGCAGCGATGGCTAAACTGACAGTTTTGATAAAAGAAAAGAATATAAGTACTTTTGTTTGTACTTGGATACTGCTTCTGGACTT